AGGATATAAATATAAGATTTAGAGTAATAAAATAAAAGTGAGATAATTATACGATTGGATAAAAATAATGATAATCATGTAATAAATTATAAAAATTAAAAAAAAGGAAATTTTGTATAATCAAAGAAAGATTATCAAATTAGAGAAATTTATATTACTACGGTAACAGTATTTAGTTCAATAATATTCTACTTCTTTCTATTTTTTTCTATTTTTTTCTTTTTCTTTTTTGTATTACTTATTTTTCTATATTTATTTCATTATTATCTTTATTTGAATATATTAATCATGCAATTTTCTTGGCAAATTTATCATTTTCTATATTAATTTAACTTCTATTTTATATTTTTACTATTAGTACTTAAATGTTAAACAAGATTATTAATTATAATATAGTTAAATTTTGTGTAATTTAGAAGAGAATCAATAATTTTATAATATTAGTATAGATCTACTGTATCATGTACTGTACTATAACTGTATCATACTGTATTATACTATATATTACTATATTATATTATGTTATTGTAACATAAAAACATATATAAATACAAGTACTGATAATTAATAAAAATCAAGTTCTCTAATTTTTATTTAAAGTTTTTTAAGTTCTTTTAGTTTTGGTTTCTCTTGATTTAATGTTGAGTTTAATATGTTAAATTGATTTTATTTTGAAATTAAAAATAGTTTTCAGTTAAGTTTTCTTTTAATTTAGTCTTATTATTAGTTTAGTTTATTTATCATTATCATTATCTTGTTAAAAAATATTATTCTATTATTTTAAATACTATTTAATTATAAAATTCAAAGTAAATTGCTATGAACACAGTTATTATTGTCATTTTGAAATATTTTTATATATAAAAACTCAAAACAGTAACAATACTATTTTCTTTAAATTAATTTTTTTTATAAATATTTTCCTTTTCTAAAAAGAAAAATAATAGTAATAATAATAAAAATAATTAAATAAATATAATTTTATTAGATATATCACAAGAACTTATTCAACTATTTATTACTTTATTTACAAAAATTCAAGAATTTGATATCAATCTTAAATTAGAAATAGATTATCATAAATTCTAATTCTATAGAACAATACAAGTAGAAAGCTTTGAAGATTAAGTAATAATACTATTATTACTAATACTAGCACTAATACTAAAATTATCTTACTTTAAAGCTAAAATTCTTACTGATATAGAAAACACATTTAACAAATTTGACTTAGTTTTTTATATATCAAGATATTATTATATAATAAACTTTGATTGAATATTTTACTAAATTATTCATACTATTATTATGTAATATTTTAGCATTTATATCACATTATTTTAAGTATATTTCTATTAAATAATTAATAAATATATAATCTATAAATTACAATCTCTTTTTAGTTTATACTATTTATTTTATATTTTATACTATTTATTCTTATTTCATTTTATTTTAAATATATTTTATATTATTCATTTTATATTTCATACTATTTTATTTTATTTTATATTATTCATTTTACTTTAAATATATTTCATACTATTTGTATTTAATTCTTTTTATTTTCATATTATTATTATTAGTATGAAAAATACATGTTAATTAATCTTTAAAAAATCAAATTAGCTTAATAATAATTTATAATAATTAGTTATACTCAAACAAAAAAAAGTGTGAAACATTGAGATAAGTACTACAAGATAATTTATAGAATGAATTAAATCTTATTCTAAATAGAATAGATTAGTTCTAGATTGAAAAGATCAAGTAATAAATAATTATTATAAATATAACATATATTTAACTAGGAAAATAGATAATTTTTGATTAACTTAGTGTTATAAAGTTTCTTTGCTTTTATTCTTTAATAAATATAATAATTGACTTACTATGTATTTTTCAAAAGAATTAATTACTTTATGTTTTTTTCTTGAATAATAATAAAGATTTTTGATGAATCTAGATTGCTTTTTGATAAAATAATACTCATATATTAAAAAACTTTGTGTTTTATCTTTTATAAATTTCTTTATAATTCTTTCATAACTCTTTGAGTTCTTGGTGAACTCACTTTTATTTCTTAAAAACTTATATTATTCTTAAAGTTCTTAGTAAACTTATTAAATTCTTTGTAAATCATTTAGCACTTTAACTAATATATAATAATATTAGAGGATTATTTCATACTTTGTTCATTCTTTCATAATATTTTAATTTTTTTAAATATAATTTTTTAAAAAATAATTGAAAAAACTTGGAGTTAACATTGTATATTTCAGAATATTTTGAATCTATAAACATAAAACATATATATGAATTTTTTATTAGTTACTGCGTTATTGAATTACTAATTATATCCAAGTTATTTATCTATGCATTTGTATTCTTTAGACAATGATTAAAAAGCTTGAAATTTTAGTATAATATACTTCAAATCATCTTAAAACTACAAGCTTAAAATATAAAAGTATAATTTTTCATTAATCTTTAACTATTAATAAAGTTGTATTAATATACTTTTTTTGTGCAAATTATTGGTTTATTTGAAATATTATATGTTAATATATTTTAGCTATAACTTTTTAGTGGGTGATTAAAAAGACTTAAAAATCTAGTATAACATATTTCAGAATATGTTGAATCTATGCATAGAACACTAATACAAGTTTTTTCACTATTATTTCGCGAAAAAGTATCTGACTTTATTTCACTAAGTGTATATGTGCCGACAACTATTAAAGCTCAATTTTATTGTTTTGGTTAGGGTAAGGATTAGAGTGAAGGACAAATTTATATGTAAAATTGCTTCCCCGACATTTTTTATTAGAGCTCCAAGTTAAATTTAGATATATGTTTCCCGTATTTCATTTTTGTGTCGGATTTGTTTTGCCGATTGATCAAAAATTTACGCATCCTTGTTGGTTTGATCACGTGCACGTGATCAGGAACCGAGCACAGATAATTACGCCGGGGACACCATCTAGTAAGCTGGATCCAAACTCAATCATATATATATCAGATAAAATTTGGAATAACATGTGCATTGTAAAAATGATTTTAGGTACAGAAGAATATAATTACAAGTTGATAGAAATAAATATTCTGTTTTCAATCAAAATCATGTGACTACGGGACGAATTTGTCTCGCACTTTTTGCAAAGAAATTTTTATTTTTCAATACAAATGCCACACATATAGTTGTGAGTTAAAAACAAAGCTCAATGCGGGTAAAACTTAATTATTTTTTCAATGATATAATTGCTAACTACAAGGTTAAAAGTAAATGTGACGTTTCCTTCATTTTTTATTGGCAGATATGTCAACCCACTCTTATAACTGTCGGAGTTGTGCACCGGTCCAATCTTTTATCTTCTTCATCATCAACAGTCATCAAGGCTATCAAGCTTAAGTGTCTTTCATTGTTGCACCAACTTCAATGTCCGCATAACAATTGCTTTTGCTCTTAATATGTCTTTTCATACTATGCTAATGGGGGATCATTTATACGACTGACAACTTCATGGAAATCAAAACGTTGAGTTCGACAGATATATCCCTTTGGGATGTCCATAGTAAGGAGTTGAAAGTGATTGACATCATGCAACATCCCAACGGTCTGTAATTCCCTAACGACTTGTTCATCACTATTGCATTCTGACATAAGCAGTACTAGCATATCTCTCAGCATTTTACTCAACTTTAAGCTATCGGACAAATATTTCTGTCCATTCTTTCCTTCACATTTTCTTCCCGACTCAATAGCCCCAAATTCCAACCTATTTTTATTTAACCTTAAAATCCCATCCCCTTTCCTTCCGCTCTGCACAATCTTCTCCATTATTCTTTCGATCGCTAGAAGCCAAACTCATACCTTTCCCAAACCAAATTGATTCTAAATCATGGAACACAGGATCAATAATATGTTATGTTCGTACCAACCTGCCAGTAATGATGAATTTGTTGCGAAATCAATGTCTTTCCCAAAGAATGTGCATAGCACGATATGCAAAGTTAATGTGATTCAAATCAAGATGCTCTTTTTTTTTAATATAGAATGCCGGTAGGTAGGAAGGGTTCGAAAATAACATTTCGAAATGAGGATAAATCAGGTATTGTATATCTTTTCATGAGCTGAGTGATTGATTTGTCAATTTTTGGCATTTTTTGATGTTGGTGCGTATTCATAAATGACTTTTTCAATGACACGATCAGGATTCGAGAGTCCACATCTTTGCTGGATCTAGATTATGGTAGACGAGATCAAAATTGGTAAAGTCATCGATTTCCCGTTCATCTTCGATTTCGTTATCACTGACAGTCTCTTCAATATCATTCACGGATTGGGTTTTCACTCCAAATTGTCTTTTTATCTGAATCATAATTGTAAAAAAAAATGTTAATAATTCTAGTTTCAAAGTAACTGAAGTACGCTGGTATTACTTATCTTCTTATATTTTTCCACATAATCAGAATCTGTATCCGTTTCTGTTATGCTTTCGGTATAATTTACCCGATTTCTTTTTCTCAACATCATTTCAATTGAAGAAAGTTCTCCTCAGCTTGACATAGTTCCAGCAACGATAGTTCCGCCGTTGACAGTCTCGTTGTTTATAGTATTATCCATGAATAACGGCTTGTGGATGTGAGTTTGCTTACAAGACCTTTCTTTCTCCCATTTTCGCGATCGGGTCGAGTACCCTTACATATTCAGTTACAAATGCTAATAAATTTATCTTTAAATTTTTGATGACGACGAATACTAAAAGATCACATCCGCTCGGCCAGAAGCCTTGAACGACAGAACAATCCAGAAGGTCACTCTGCGCCTCAACGGGGCCAGTGCCAGATCGGCCAGAAGCCCTGAACGTCAGACAACCCATAAGGTCACCTGTGCTCCAACACTGCCTGAATGTCAGACAACCCAGGTCACCTGCGCTCTAACACTACCCTTGAATGACAAGAATCTCGCCACTCGTTCCCTGCATTTTCAATAAAAAGCTCTTACCACCCTATATTCATCGAGCAACATCTGTGCTTTTTGCACCTGCGGTCTTTCTTACTATTAGCGATCATATCGAGGCTTGAAATGTAGCAATCTACCTTCCGTTCGAACGGTTCAAGATCACACTCGTTTAGGAACCCGAGAATATCATACTCGGAAGTTCTGCGTTCAAAATATTTATGTATTACGTTTCTTGACATGTACTGAAAAAAAAAGCGAGCAAGTCATTTGATTATTGTGTTCGAGGAACACTAACGGAGTCATTGTTTTACAAACATGTTTGCCGAAACGACTATAGTAAGACAATATATTCAATGCCGAAAAATAATAAAGTCCGCCACTCTGGGCATTGTCTTTTATTCCTTTTTACATATCGGCATGGAACAAGGGATCCGATATATTATTCGCTTCTAAGTATTCACGTACCTCTTTGTAATCGAATATCTCCTTCGTCTCTTACGTGTTCTCATTTACAATGAGTATAAATTCTCCGTCAATAATATGATCATACTTATTCTTATCCAGGAATTGTGAATATTGTTTGGGTGGTGTAGTGAATTTACTCTGAATTATTCTTTGATTTATGGGACACCTTGTTCATTTTCTGAATTGTGTGCATCGGAAAAATAAAAAATGTGTATATACAATGTTCCAAGACTAATACAGTCAAGAGGATTGTAAATAAATCCGCGTCTTATATCAGACGTACAATTCGAGATGATACGAACAGTGGCCGCACAAATAACGCACTACTTGCATCGCTAATTGTTGATCACCTGATTTTAACTCGCATGCAATCCGATGAACGCAAAAATAATTGACAAATAACATCTAATACTGTGCTA